CCGAGGATAGAGGTTGTTGCATTTACTAATTTCTTTTAATTTTTTCGCAACGCACAGTGGATGATAAATAAAGTGTCAAGATTAATCGAAATTTATGCTTTGGCAGATTTGACTTTGTGGATCAAAACATTCCCCCCTCAGTTTTATTTTTCCTTTTTTTCCAAAAAACTAATTACCTAATTATTTCTTACGTACTGCTAGGCCCATTTCTCTTGTAATTGTATAGTTTTAAAAGAAGATGACTGAGATCTTGATGCAGACAACGAAGCAGATCTGATCGTGGAACCGAAGGATTTGCGATGGAGTGGCAAAGCCGGATATCAGGCAGTATACTTGCAAAACGCAACAAATGACCGCTTAGCAATCAAAGTAATGATTTCTCTTTGGCCAGCGGCCACCTTACATTTGTACAACATCACGTTATAAACGCGGCCAATCTTGAAGCATATTATATTGTCGTGGATACATGCAGAAAACTATGAAAAGTGCATGTTGCTCATGAAATCCACCCTAGATAGGTATACGTGCGAGTGGCATACAAACAGTGACATAAATGCTCAGTTGCAATTGTCTGAACACAGGGGGCTGACAGTACAATGGATAGCACATCGCAATTTAAGAATCCGGAAATAGTGAAAATGAGTGGTTCGATTCCTTCACGGTTTTTGTCCATTTGCAAAAAGCGGTACCGAGGGCAATCAAACTAGAAGGCAAGCATGTAGTGCTGGAAAGCTAGTGACAAGGAAGTCTCATGTGCTTATGACCATGAAACTTTGTTAAAAGCAACAAACTATAGTCCCCAAACGAATTTTGATTTGCACTCAACTTCATACATGTAATACATGAATACTTGTAGACATCCGGCGTAGAGTGATTCGAGTATAAGCTTAAATGTACGAAGGGTGTTTTGACCTTTCGATTGCACGCCGCTTTACTATTTACATTGCTTGAATCACACTCTCTATTGGTTGCATGTTTGTAGGCGAAATGTTCAGACACGAAGCTGTACTACGTCAATCCTGTATTCGGATTCATTGAACCCGGCGAGACAATGAAAGTTGATGTTGTAAGACAAAAAGCCGCCCCCAAAATTGATAAGATAATTTTCGTCACAGTTCATGTAAGCTTTCCAATTCAGTGCTGCTAGTTTTACCGCAAAAATTTACAGAAAAATATCCCGAAAAAAAATTGAAAATTTCTATTTAAAAGAGAAAGTAATGTGCAAAAACAAATAAAGAAAGGGGAAGAAAAAAATATCAATATTTTATAAACGTTCCGGCCCATTATGCAATTTTTTCTTTTATCTTGAATTATGACTGAAATGAGAGAGAAATTCGCAGGAAATTTAAAATTACTTTGAAGAAGCCCAGCCTTAAAAATTTGTGTTAAAAAAGCCTATCCAATAAGGAACGGTGGAAAAAATAGCGCTGATGTCGTGCAGTAGGCCGATTGGCTCAGCGGATGAGAAAAATGGAACAAAAAAAAGTGGGGCTCTACGATACGTTCATTCGTTCGATGGTGAATTGGTACTGACATATGCCAAAGGGTTAAACCTGCCATCAGCCTACTTATAAGCAACTCTCGAAAGAGGGAGTCATCGATAGCCCTTTTCAGTAGACTGCTGCTGTTAATACTTGTTACCATTTAGGATACTTTCGAGTGCTTCTGCCCCTTACAGAAAGTAAATAGAGAGGAACATAACAAAACGCTCTCTTATCTTTGTTCTCTTCACTAAATGCTGCTTGAAGGATGCGAAGTCAACAGTATCGATGGAATCAGGCATCCCTAGTTTATTGAAGCAGCTCCGTCCGTTAGAAGTCCTCTCAGTTCAAGCGCTTTTCAGGCCACAAAAGACGATCTGCTCCCGAAACCACTGTTCAAGGGACCCGAAGAAAGCCAGAAAACCGCTATGCTACCATTGCTCGTTGCGCGTGCCATGTAATCATGCTCAGGACAAATTTAATATGTGCGCATCTGCCGGATCCCAAGTGGAACTCCGATCCCAGATAAAGAATCCACTGTCTCTGTGTTGCTATGCAATGTCCAACCAAACGCAAGCCTTTCCGATTTCAACATCACACATCCATTTAAATAAAAGACTATCTTGCCTCGTTCTGTGCAGCAGCGGGAGATGACAGTTTTCATTTTCATTCTTCAGCACCGTCATTATGGGATGGTACAGCAACAGTTCTCTTCTGCACTTCTTGAGGCTGTGCCTCTTTTGAATCGTCTCTACTTTGCGAGGACGTTTGTATTTTTCGAGATCTCTCAGTGTCCAGTGCAACTACAGGGAATAGGGCACCCACCTTTCGAATTTGACCTCCTTTCATGCTATCCTCTTTTCCAGCAGCGTTTTTTTCCCCTCGCCCACCCGATAAATTCGACTTGACCCCTAGTTCTCCCAATCCTCCACGCGGATTCCGTGCACTTGCTTTGGGCCCTTCCCGTCCCTTCACGCCGGTCCTGCACCCTCGCCATAAATCTCCCTGTCCTCTCCCACGCCTCGTCCCTCTGATGACTTTCGCCGGGGTCGCTTTTTGGGTGACTTACAGAGCATATAAGCAACTGTTAAACTCGACTCCGCAGGTTTGAGAGGCGATTTGCAGTGACTGTTGTATGCTCTTCTCGAGCAGGGCAAGAGGTGGAGATGCGCGGAAAGGGGAGGACTGGGGTGCCAGTTTGGGTCTCGCGTAACATAGAGGAGACGGAGACAATGGCCGGAAGGAATTGAGAGTATCTCATTTGGTGATAAAGAATTAGAAATAGAGGCGGAGAATAGGGGTTAAGTCTCTGTTGCTTCCCTAAAGATAATAAGCCTATGCGTGACAGTCAAACCCTCCTTCCTCTCAAATAAAAAACCCCAACACTTGCGAACCACAATGAGTCTCGCAGCCCAAACTCAAACCCACATTTGCATACTACTGACTTTATACAGTAATTGCCGGCGCTTCCGTTGGGCAATTATTAAAACTCAACTCTGCTCGGCCGTTACTCTAACTACCTCGCTAACGCTATTTCACGGCGAGTGTTGTGCTGGCGCTTGATAGTTTGCCAGGTGTGCCGGGTGAGATGAAGCTGATGCTTAGGTAAAGCCGAGAGCAATAACTTATTTGCTTGGCAAACTATCAAAGTCGAGGGCATTAACTTATT